ACCTTGATTTTTTCTAAGCTGACTCATCACTCATCACAGACATTTACAATATGAAAATATTTTCATTCTTTAATTTCATATCAGATAATAATTCTCTGAAAAATTCTTGATTTTTGTTTGTTATTTTTTTCAAAATCACTACTCCGTGACGTCATACTGCCGCGGTAATCAGGTTTAGGCATACGTACGTCTGTAATAAATAGTTCTGGTATGAAAACCCTTCTACATAATAACTTTATCAATAATTTTTTTTTAAAAAAGCATAAAAGAAAATTTATAAGTAAATGCTTTAATTAGGTGGCAAATATTCTTTATTATTTTTGATAACAATTTTCCAATTACTACGCAGCGACCAACTGTTTATGACGGGTCATTAATTAGAACGTTGCAACACAGTAGTCTCAATATCATGCATGTTCTTTTGTTGATATAAACCATTAATAGTCCTTAATATTTTTTATAGACAAATAATGGTAAATTGTCGCTTACATCAGAGACATGGATCGTGTTTGCGTGATAACTAAGGAAAACTAACTTATTAGTACACCCTAGGAGGCTGTACGCGGAAAACGCTCATAAACCACCATATCATTATAGCTGTAAAGTGAACAGTTAAATGACAGAAATATGTGGTCAAATATGTTTTAACAAGGAAACAATTATTTCAGAGAAAGACGCAAAGATCAGTCTTCAATCAAATGAATGATCCCGTATTGTGTAATTAGAAAGTTTATTCAATTCTAGGGCAACGAATCATAATTTGATAGTCCATGTGTAATAAAATTTAAATTTTCAATACAGATTATGAGATACATAAAAAATATTAAAGAATAAGAGGCTTAAAAAACAACAACAAAAAACAACAAAAAACGCATATATATACGAATGACTTACAGTTTAGCATCGGGAATTCATCAACATATCTTACGAAACTTTAATTTGAAAACGATATTTGCGGGGGCTGAAGTGATTAATGTTTATTTGAATAAATCAAATAAAAAAACTTATATGTTTGTGTTCAAAAAATAATCGGCGGCATAAGAGGAATGTTCGTATTCATTTTACAACACTTGAAAAAATACTACAGAAAATGTGTTGTTGTTTTTTTTGTTTTTGTTTTCAACAAAAGTGTGTGTGTTTAAAGTTTATTTATACTCGGGGCCGGAATAACCATATGTCCGAGATTATAGCATCGGGGACGTCTTTTTCAAGCCGAATCTTCCTGGTAGCCCATTCTTCGTTCGTTGGTGGTAAAGGAGACGACAATACTGGCAAAGCATCAACTTCCTGACTGACGACAACAAAAACGGCATTCATTAGCGCCAAACCTCCAGAGTAAGTCACGACAGGTCAACCAATCACCTCTGGTACTTGAGATGACTTGACCTTGACCTGCCGTGTGCCTTCTCCGCGACGTGCACGCCAACAAAAAGCTTCCAAAACACGCTATTTATAAATTATTACACCATTCATAGCACTGACGCTTCGATGTTCTCATCTATTTGCGGGAAATGGTCGACAGGGAAAACCCTACGTAATAACCGCACACCCTGTTAACAATAGATTTTCCGCAAAATACATGTAGAATCTATCTATTAACTACCATAAGTTGGTTGAGTGTTGGAGGTAAAAAAAGAAGATATAACTTCCTGATCAATTTTCACTTAGGTTGATTCAATTTTGAATAAGCTTTGCAGATATGTATTTTTTCAAGAAATATTTAGTTTTAATAAATATCCGAAGCCGTCAAAGTCCGCGACGAGTAATGAAATGGGAATAATTTTCTGAAACGTGATTTTATTCCAGATTTGCTTCGGAAGAAGACATCTTTCTGTCCGTAGAGCATGAATATTAATACTCATCACAAGACATTATCTTATTGATCTCAATTATGGTACATGACATGTAAATATGTATAATTTTTATGTTCAATAAAAATGTTGCATAACTTGCAGTTGTTATTATCATTCAATGATATTAAAATGACATAAAGTATTTATGATGAACAGTCCTAGAAAAGATAAGGAACAGTCAGTTGTAAAATGTTATTGTTATCTTATAATGAACAGTCGTCATACTTTCTGGTATGTCATTTATTATTGACAGTTTAGGGTTTTCAAAATTTGCAGGATTAGCAGTCCGAATTAATGAAGACCTCAATGAAATGTTCTGGAATATTAACAAAATGAATAGTCAACCATATTAACCATATATATGAATGGTTGAACACAACAGTAAGGATAAATGACACAATGTGCATATCTTCTTATTTTGGTAATAATTGAAATAACAGCACATTTTAAGCAAAAAGAAAAGAAACTATAAGTCTGAAACATTCTGTCATAGCCTCCCCATCAGTACATTCAGTGCTTTGATTTTATTGTGTTGTTCTCTCGTGAATTGTTTGTATTTACTCATTCTTATCATGTCGTGTAATGTTCACTCTTTACATATGTGTTAATTGTTTTGTGTAATGTTCAGTCTTTTAGATTGAGTATACATGTATATGCAAACAGTCTAGTAAGTATTTCGTGTAATGGTTACGCTTTAAAACTTACGGTGGAAGTTTTCTTATGGAAGCGTTTAATGTTCAATTAAAATGTACATGTTACGTTCCAAAGGTTCTAAAATACAAATAAACACAGATTTTCATAGCAACATTTATGATAATACAGGCTTTTGGCTAAAATAAACAGATTTATGTTATTTAATTTAGCCCATTACAAATTAACCTTGCTATAAGAGTCTTTTTAGCTGGCATACAAAGTAAATGTTATAAAAACACCAACATTAAACAATAGGTATGTTTTAAAGAAATAAAAGTATGATATATATATATGCAATTATATCAGCATCAGGAAAAGTTTCAAACTTTGTGCTCACAACCAATCCTGGTGGAAATTATACAAGGATGAAAATAAGCTGGCTAGCCCCAGTCATATTGCTACAGAATAGTGTGATAAAATAATACAGATTTTTGTATTTTCAAGACCAAAAACTTGTAAGTTTTAATGATTTTTTTCTATAGCTAACTGAAGAAAACACAGAAGGAAAATTTTAAGTTCATCATACAGTTATACATTTTTTCTTCTTAGATGAAATAAGTTCTTGAAATATTTAAATACGCAATTCAGTACAAATAATTAATATGTGATGAAAAATATAATTGTAATGTTCAGATTGTCACAAGTGTTTTGTCTTTAATCTTTAATATACATAACTTGCTGCATGCCATTTCAAACCAACATTAGCCTTGTTTATATTAATATCATATGTTTATTAGCATTAGCTCATGAACGTTTCAGTAGATTTGTCAATTCCAGATTAAGATACTGCTGCCAGTAATTTCAGATAAGGTATCAAACCTTTTATATCGAAACAGTCATAAAACAGTAAACAGTAGGAATTGTGTAACCTTGACAATGAAATAGTTTTAAGCATATAGTGATTAGTTCTCCTTCCCTTATTTTCAGGAAAAAAGGGTTGTAAAGATATTTGATCACCAACTTCCTCAACTGTATTTTTACGAAACGTTCGTCAATGTTATTCCAGAAGAGTCATATACATTTGAAGTTTGTGACCGACTCTTGTTTGATGTCATGTTTACAAGATTTCTTACTCGGCCAAAATACTTTAAACTTTCAAGTACATAAATGTATGGTTTTTGTAACCGGTTTCTCCCATTTTCCATTGCTTTCATATATATATACATTTTTGGATTTTCAAATTCACATTGTTTTGCTAATTTTATGAAAGCGAGCTAAATCAATATGAAACTTTAGTGTTCCAACAATGTTTTCAGTGACAAAAGTAATAATTGTAGTTTGAAAATGAAATATTTCTGACCTTAAACGTTTATTGGAGTCTATGTATTTTTAGAAATGTATTCATTGACAAATGACTTTCCTCACTCCTTTAACCTGTGCAATTAATCATTTGTTCGTCATAAGTAAGAATGGTGTTACTTTTTTTGAAATATAAATGGTTATATAACAGCTTGAATATCAGTGTAAAAATTACTTGATAGTTGACAGAAGGATTGCGATAACAATTTTGTACGTTCCAGGTTTAAGCATTAAATGATCAAACCATGACTGGAGAAAAATACACAGAAACACAGATTGCCCCTGCAGGGAGTATGTCATTATGAAATATACTTGTTCAAATTCAATCATATATTTTTAAACTTTTATTGGATGTAGGACACACTTTGGTCAATGTTGATCCTAATTAGGGAACAGCTGTTTGAAGAATAATGTATCGTCATTGTAAGCCCACGATATGCTAACATCTTGCGCTATTATACACTCCTATATTAGGAAAACAATTTTTGCTTTGCTTTGTAATTTGGGTAGCACAAAACAGCACAATGAATACTGTAATGAAAAAAATATTAGCAAATAAGACATAGAATGTGTTGAATGGAACTTGAAATTTCACGGTTTGTGTGTGAAAAATAACAAAATAAATAAAGCAGATTGTGTTGCACTCTTAAACATAATTTGAAAATATGTCGGCCTTAAAGTAAGCCGTAAGTAAAAATACTACCCCTAAATATCAACCTCTAAACAAAACTAAAAATAAACGCATACCCCGGTATTGTTATTTAAATTTTAGGGCAAATGTGCTAACTCTTCGACATATTGCCTTGTACTTTTCAAAATAAGCTTTTTTTTAAATATCCCGAGAATATATACATTTATTTTCATTTCTTTTATTCTTAAATATGTCAGTTTTCTATAAGTTTACACTTTAGAAAATGAAGTTGAAAATATGTAATGAATTGTGATCGTTATTTATTGTAGGTGCAAGGAGTTTAGAAGCTTATATGATATGTCAGTTTACATTCACATACATAAATGACTTCTTTTCATTTTTTATTACGTCTGTTTGTTTGGATAATAGTCTTAAAGAAGATTGATATTAAAATTGGCAAAGAATTCATAAACTTTGATTAGGTGTATGTTTAATTCTAATCGATGATCTTTCCATTGTTTTAGTTCCGATTAATGTTGAGGAGCAATTGCTTCTAAAAGTTATTACGGCCAGTAACAATCTTGAAAATAGAGACAAAACAAGAATTGCTGTGACAATCGTTCAAGATTTTTTTGAAGAGTCTACATATGGAAAAATACGTGCGAAAGGCATCATTGCATGTGTAAAAGTCTGCGAATTATCTGGTAAACCACCTACAGAAAAGTTTAATATATTTTTGAATTCATTTTGCTCATCAAGATTTTTCTCTAAAAGTTTCAACATTTATTGTCATTAAACAAGAAAAGTCATAAGAGTAAAGAGTATCAAACTGCTACTTGTATTTTTTTCTCAAAAATGACGTAGGGAAAAAGATAACTTAAGTTTTATTCCTGAATTTTTTTAATGCTCTCTATGAAGTTAAGATTTTAAAAGACATTAGTCATAAACTTAATGCGTTCTTGTTTCCTTCAAAGATATTAAGACACTAGACGATTTTAATAGCATGTCCAACTGGAAACAAGCGGTAAATGACGGATTTACTTGGTATAGAATTACCAGCTCGTCTTGGTTTAATATCCTCAAAACAGACAAGCTGAAAGGTAAATTATTACACTATTAATAGTCTACAGCTTAAAAACTTTAGTACTACTTTCTTAATATTTGAAAGAAATATACACGAAGCTTTTATAATCAATTTAATTCTCATTAATTCACACGAACACTCGGGAGGGGGGGGGGCTTTATATATTTTTATGATTTAAGGCTATTGATAATGATATAATATTTCAATTTATTTTTCATTTGAAAAAAAAAACTAAATGTTTTCTAAAATGAAAACCTTCAGATAAGTGAACATTATATATTTTGCGAAATTAAAAATTTTATTATTATACATGTATAACATATTTATAATCCTAGTTACTTTACATTAATATAAGAAGTATAACTGTTATGACAACAATTAATATCTAACCCACATAATATGTATGATGGACTTGATTGGCAATGCATTTGTAGCAATTCATCCAAAGTAATACCATTTAGGTATTATAGTACAAAAATTCAGTGACCAAAAATTAAGATGGTTAGACTGTGCGAATGTACAGACTAGTCTGTTGGCAAATGCTAATAACATCACATATAATTCTAGCAGTTAAAAGGTTAACAATGGAAGAGCAGCTTAAAATTTAGCGCAACTATACAATGATACTTTTCTAAGGTTTTAATATTATAAAGGAACATTTTGATTTTTTATATATGTATGATTACCATCCATAGATAAAGATGCTACATATATGGATTATACAATTGGTAGAGATAGTTGTAACAATATATCACCAGGAGAATACTGCAATGGACGATTGGTGCCTGGAACAGAATACATGTAAGTCATGATTGGTTTTAGAAAGGAAACTTTACAATGTTAAGAAATGTACCCAATCATAACTCTTGAAATAATTAAACAGACTTTATTTTAATAATTGAAATGACAAAATAAAACGACTATGAGTAACATTTTCATATTTAATTTTTATATGTATATGACTCATACATGAACGCTTCAACAATGTTATTGCAAACAATAAAGCAATATCGTACTAAATGCAATTCAAGGTTGGATTGTTTTGGCCGCTCAAATTTGACAGGGTATCCCGTGTCTAAATAAATTCGACCGAGAGGAGATCAGACGTGCTTTATATTACACATTTACTTTTTGCTAAAGTCCCAATACATACAAAAACCCGCAAACAGTATCATACAAACGCAACGCAACGCAAACGCAAAACAGTGTTCAACAGTCCAAAAGATTACCGCAAATGACATCAAATTGAAAATTCCATTCATCGCTGGGAACCCAAGCGTATAAATAGAACACACAACTGACGCCATTGTACGGCAACGCCATACACTGCAACGCAAAAACAGGAATTGCCAAGTACTACGGCAAAACCAAATAACGCAAACTGCAGTCCAAACACATGGACAAACTGTATGATACTTCCAAAATTAATTTCCTGATTATAGGTCGGCCTACCCTGACGGGTATTCCGTCACGAGCAGTAGAACCATACACAGGGTTTTAAGTTAAAATGCCAAACAAAACAGAATACAATGTCTGATCTCCTCTCGATCGGAGGAATTTTACGCCACAATAAATTTATCAAAAAATTTATCCCCCAAATTCTTATCGAGAGACTGGTACATTTTTATTGATAGAATCTTTGAAGTAATCTAGGAGGAATTCCAAACCAATATCATTGAGATGAACCCTGTCTGTCCGAAAAAAATGCAGTTTTAGCATCAATGTCTGGCTTAATTGTGTCACTTTTACCCGATGAATGAACTTATTGACGGCCTATCCTGTTAACTCGTTTGCGTTTATTTTCCATAGCAACCCAACCCCCGTGGCATTATGCCAGGTCTGCCTCTGTAATACATATGTATATCTACCCAAATTAGTACCGTTGTAGGGAAAGCTTCACGCAAGTAAAAAAATTCATCCCGAATAACATCTTTCAAATTTAAAATCGGTAAATCTGCCAAATCATTACCTCCTAAATGAACAATAATAATGGATGGAGGTGAAGAAAATAACACCTGTGATTCAATAGAGTGACGGAAGGACTGCCAACGTAGGCCTCGAACACCCCACCAGGCTATTGTTAAATCTTTCAATCTCAAGTTAGGCTTTCCTGTGTTCTTTGCCCGCTGTCCAGCCCAGAACGGGATCGAGTCACCCAGGACCCAAACATCTAAATATAAATAGAAGATTACACAGCGTATGATAGTGGTTGAGAAGAATCAACATTTAAAGACGAATATAAAGTCGAAACGCTTGAGATGTCCACCTTTCCAGTTTCATTATTACTGATGAAGGGTAACCTTTGGTAGCTAAGTATGTGGCTCTGCCTAAAGCTATGGGAGGTGAAATGTGCGTCAGACAAATTAGACTGATTGACACACTTAGTTAGTACTGCCGAGAACTGCGTTCTAGTTACCGGCGAACCATCAGCGTGAGAAAATAGAGGGCCTTTTGAACGAGGCCTGATTGACACAAATTCAAATAGAGCGTTAACAGGACATAATTGACCAGTTTCTCTAAGTATTTTCAGAAGAACAGGAGTCCATCTTTGATTTGTTTTAAAATGACGCAATTTAATAACTGTATATTCTTTTTGACCTACAAATGTCAAATCCGATAAACATTTTCAGCTTGCATGCCGGATGACGTTACCAATTCGCTGACCCGAAACAAACCATAATAGGCCAAGGTAAAAAGTGACTCGAATAACTTGTTTTCATAAATATTATAACACACGCTCGGTAGACTGAATCACACACCGAAACCAAGGTGCGTATTGTTAATGGTGCCCGACAATCGTTAGTTATACGATTTCTGCGACAGCCTTCTAATATTTGTTGACCATAAAAACATTATTTATGTCATAAAAACCATATAATTTATGGTAATAATTCAGGCCAGCGATATAAGTTGTAATAGTTTTTGGCGATTGGCCTTTCTCAAAACAAAATGTCATAAACAAAATCACGTGATTAATTGGAATAGGCCATTGACTTAGCATTTTGTATGATAGTCTAGATTTCTCGAACATATTGACGCTAGTTCGGTAAGTTGATAAGGAGTTTGATGCTAGTCCCGATTGTAGCAGTTGTACAACTCTAGACTGAATGCGTTCCATAGAAACTCTGGAACCTGGCAAGGGTTGAGGTCTGCTTCCGGTGCCAACTCCCTGAATCGAGATAGCTGAAACCGAGACAAAGCATCACAGATATCATTTTGACAGCCAGGGAGATGACTAGCCTTAATTAAAATGTTGAGTCTTTGAGTCTAAACAGCGTAATGCTAAATTTCTGACAAGACACATGACTGCCTCTGATTTTGACGTTAACTTATTGAGTATATGCACAACTGCAATATTATCACAAATTAAATTTTATTTTTCTGTTTACTAATTCCTCGCCCCAAATGAATAATGCGACTAAAATGGGAAAGAGTTCTAGAACAGTAATATCCGTGGTGATACCTAATTCATGCCACCACGTTGGCCATCTTGCATTGCACCAATGACCCTTGAAGTAAAGACAAAAACCTAAACCTATACCCCCGGCACTATCTGAAAATAACTGGACATCCTCATTTGAGACCCAAAATCTGTCATGAAAAACGGAAATACCGTTAAATGATTCTAAGAAAACTAGCCACATAGACAAATCCAATTTTATTTCTTTTTTTTTATTCTAATTCGATGATGAAATTTAGTAAGCCCACATATTGAATTGATTAAGCGGCGAATAAATGGCCGACCAATAACTATGGCACGACAGCAAAAAAATTAAAGATCCAATCAAAGATTGTATCTCTTTTAATGCTGACTTTTTATGAGATAAGATATTCTTTATTTTTCCAACAACCTCGGTTATTTTGGTCGTGGGTATTCTCACAACCATTTTGTTTGAATCTAACTCGAGGCCGAGGAAAACGAGGATCTCCGTGGGCCCCTGGGTCTTATCTTCGGCTATGGGTACCTCTAACTCCGACATTGTTTCTCTAAATATTTGCAATGCCCTATTGCAAGAGTCCATCGACGTATCACCTCCCAAAAATCATCTAAATAGTGAATTAATTTCCCTGATTCAAAATTAAATGTAATGCAAAATTCTAAGAATGTTGAAAATCTTTTAAAGGTTATGCAGCTTACAGATGCTCCAAACGGAAGTGCCTTATCGAAATAAAACTTATCATTATAACGAAAACCAAGCAACTCAAAATCTGAAGGTTTAATAGGTATCAGACGGTAAGCACTTTTAATATCGGATTTAAATAGTTTGCAGTGCTGACCTAGATCTTGAATCATTTTGATTGCATGATCGAAACTGGTGTATTGAACCGTGCACAAGGCCGGATCAATATTATCATTGATTGATTCGCCCGGCGGATATGACAGATGATGAATCATTCTGAACTCCCCGGGGGTTTTCTTCGGAACAAGACCAATCGGGGATACAAGTAAGTTTGGAAGTGGACGCTCATTGAATGGTCCAGCTACCCGGCCAGCTATAATTTCTTTATTAATTTGACTGTTTATTATTTCCGGATTTAACAGAGTAGAACGCAGATTATTGGAATCACGAGCAACACGGGGACCGGAATACTGTTGTGGAAAGCCATTCTTAAAAGCATCATATAAAAACTTATTTTATTATAAAATTGTCAATAATATTGCATGGCCGAAAGTTTAATTGGTGATTTCGCAATATTATGAAAAATTGGATTTGACTGTTTTTCTGATGTACAACAATGATTCATCGATTTACTTGTTTGACTGCCCTCTATTGTAACCTCTCCCTCTTGAATGGGACTGAGACCCCCTACCTCGAAAACTACGTTGAAAAGCTGGTGTACGGCTTTTCTGTGTATAACCAACTTTGAAGAGAAACAGTTTATCACAGGATGGGGCGCATTACACTTCGCGCATAAGTGGGGAAATTTGCAGTTTTACCACGTGCACAATCAAGACACGTGTACTTAAATTTTTTAACGTTTTGGGCTTGATCAGGCTGTCTAACTTGCATACACCGCCACCATAGTTCTTTGTTGATTTTAGACCATGGTGAAGGTGTAATAGCCTGGCGTTAGCGAAACTGCTCATCATAAGTTTTCCAGACTGACCCGACTTGTCGCATAGCGCATTCTCTTATATTGTACATATAATGTAGCAGTTCATAAACTTTATCTGAATGATTTGACAGGTATATGGAGGCATATTTGTCCATTTTTATATGTCATAAATCTGATCTTTACACTCCTTTGGAGCAGAAACCAATTGTAAATCGGAATTAACCGTAACAATACCGCCCCTAAAAAATTCGGATAGCTCAATTGCACTCTTTAGCAACAACGCAAAATTAGCGTTCTCGCCTCTACAGATTTGCTGTTTGAGAACTGTAGGGATATGAGCCGCCAGGTCATCGTCTGCTAGGCGAACAGACGGTGCTGAGCATACATTAGCTGGTATAACATTTGTCAGCGGCCTAGAATGAACATTTGCATTACTGGTTGTGTCGGACCCAAGAGAATGATCATTATTTACACGTGTTGGTAAATCTTTCTTTGAAATAATACCCGATGCACTCAAAATTCGCTCGAAGCCGATAACATTGGACTTACCCGCTTCAGTCTCTAGAAGCCTGACATCCACCGTGTCGTCCAATTCGTCGGTTTGGCGCTTCTGACCCCTACATTGTCTGGCATTGACGCGCGGGTTATCCTGCACGTGCTCTTGACTTTGTTGGGGCTGGGCGCTACCACAAGCATTTACTGCTCTACCTGCACGACGTGGAGCTGAATTTTCTTGACATTCGACGGTCCCTCGTGCATTTCTCTGCAAACGACGCTCCCTAGAGGAATTTCAGGTACTGAAGCTGCCTGTCCTCTCTCGCTGCGTCGCCTAGCCATTTCTCTTCTCGAAGGTTGAATCCTTCGGCGTGTACGACCTCGTGGCATGGCAAATAATTTTCAGCTTACTATAATTTGGTGTGTTATAGCTTTGTCGTCAAACAATAACTGAGAAAGTTGCACGAGAAACTCGAACTTTTATATTATTAACAGCTAATTCTTTAAACCCGGCCCTATATTGAAATGGTAAGATAAACACGGTAACCAGTGTAATGTAAACAATCTACCGATTGCCACGTAATGATAGCTTAAAACAAGGTAGCAGACGATTATTTCTCTAAAATAAATGGGATTATCTTAATTCTAAAATAATCTTTATTATTTTCTCTTTTAAATTAACGTCAAATATCAATACCAAATGTATCGTTTTTAAATTTAATATTACAGATTTGTTGCAGTTACTTGTACAAATGGAGGTTGTTTGTTGAGTAATGAGTATGGACCATTCTTTACTCTCGATGGTATTGTTTCTTACTTACATTAAACATGAAGATACTTACAGTACAAATATGTGAAATTGCAATTAATGATAATGCAACTATGTTCTAAGTTTTGCTGCATTAACTAGTACTATGATGACAAAACAATACAGTAAAAACCCTCAATTAAGACCACCATCGGGACTGTATCAAAGTGGTCTTAATTGCGGGGTGGTCTTAATTGTGAGTATTCTTATTGCTTACACACTTTACGACCATGTTCTATTTTAGTCATTTTGTGTGAATAAACTATATGTATCTAAACCTGCAAATATCAAAGTATGTTAAAATGTTACATCTGATGGGAAGAAAACATTTCTGAAGAAATTTAATATCTAATTCTATTTGATCTGATTTCAATATTAATTATTATATGGTGTACATAATACACCCATCAAATAAGAAATAAATTTGTGCTTAAAGCAACATTAAACCACTCTAAAATCTACTTTCTCACCTTATTTCATACAATATCCCAATAATAAAAGGTGTTTTTGACACCTTGTGAAATGAAGTGTCATGCCTAAGAGCATTTAAGCAGAAAATAACAACACATTAAAGATCTAGGTAGGTGTTGACTTTAAATATGTGGTCTCAATAGTGGGGTCAAATAAAGAACACAATGGAGAATTGGGACTGAATCTGGTGGTCTTAAAAGTGGATAAGCGAGGTGGTCTTAATTCTGGATCATGTAACCATAGACATAAAGAACAGAAAATTCCGTTCTTATAAAATATGGTCTTAATAGTGGGGTGGTCTTAATACCGGGGTGGTCTTAAGGATGGATTCTACTGTATAGCATTGCTAGCAAATAAGTTACTGATATGATTATATAAAAGACTGAAAAAAGTATAAATACCTTACATTCTGCTTTATATGAGAAATATATTTTATCATGAGCTACTTTCGTTAATTTTTAAGGTCCATTATGCCTCAAAAATGTTTCTTTTTTCTTTCTTAAAAGTTTTTTTTGTTCTTTATATATTAAAGTTTATAAAAATATTACTCATTGGCCGATTTTATGACCAACTTTTGGCATTATAAAGCTTTTTAGTAATTAGTAGTATAGTTAAAGTAATTTTGTATGGATATCAAGACACTGTTTCGTTTACAATTTGATACTTGCTCGTAAACCATTTTTTGAAAGTTTGTCATTTCTCAAGGAAGTGTTTATTCGTTTCAGTAGCATAATAAGCCTTTAATGTAGGAGTAACATGTTCAGAAGTTATTTTGCAGTTATTGAATATTGTTATAGAAATTATTGAGGACAAATGCGAATCCCAAACTGCCGCTGTGATCGTTGGTGTTGTTCTTGGTGCAATTATAGTAGCGCTTGGTTTATACGCGATTTACACAACACTTGTCATCAGACGTTATAAGAAGGGTGAAGGTAGTTTGATCCAACATAATAATTCTTTATATCTTTACAAGCATATTTAATTATCTTAAAAGATGAAGATGATTAAGTCATGAATTGTCTTTTCTTAACATTTCATTCATGACGTTGATAAATCGAAGGAGTTAGTTTTTGACATTCATTTTCAGTTATTGTAAATACTGTTTGAGAATAATTATTCCAACTTTATTATCCCAACACATAATTGTGGTACATGAAAAATGTATTTCAATTACAAATTCTGATTCTAAAAATAGCTTTTGCATTTCAGGTGAAAATGAAATAAATAAAGGCCAATCACGGTAAGGACTCGTATACATATAATCATTGACACTATCATAAGCAATGCTTATTTACATTCTTATGACATTTTCTCTGTGTGAAAACATGTTGGAAAGGTGTTCTTTAAAGTTATAATTCAAAATTTAGTTTCATTTATTCTTGAGTATAAAAGTAGGTTTTATCTATACGTTAACGCAACACGTGCTTCTGAATAAGTAACCACAAATACTTCCAGATCAGACATTTCGTCGTCAGTTTTTACATACATATGTCGTCATCTTTGCAGTTGATTTCTATTTACAGAAAGGGTCCGATATACGCAAACGAATCTTTCATGACGGGAATTGCAGAAATTGGCGAGGGAAATAAAGAAGCAACTTCTAGCAACTCTGAAACAGAATACTTAAGATTAGATGAAAATAATCGGGATGACAAGACGTATGAGCGTCTTCAAGACTTGTAAAATAACAATTTCCGTCATCTTAGTTACGGGATCTTATTTTTATTTAAGACATAATGGAACATGTATTCTCTGATGTGCAAAAATGTTTTAAATTTATTAATGACGTCATTTATGTGTAAATTCATGGTATATCTAAAGTATCCTTATGATCACAAATGACAAGAAATTGCCACAGAAAAAGCTTACAAATCTAAAGAATGGCACATTCTTTCTAAAATTATTTATCGCATTTATAAGCATTTTAACACTCTTTGACCTGATGATCTCAAAGTCAATAAAAGTCATCCAGAAACCATTAACATAGTCATTGCGTTATTGAGAGTTATTTACAAGGACGCGGCTAACAAACGGGGTCTGATGATAATACTTCAGTGACCACTTTATCGTTCTTTATCGGCTAATAATTAACCACTTAAAACAATGCGGTATGAATGACATCATAGAAAATGTACAGTTATCTAATGTTTATATAGCATCATATTCTCTTGTAAGCAAAGAACTACCTATACGAAGTTTGACGGAAAGGGTCAAGATGTTGCGATTGAGTTATAACCAGAGCAGTTCAAAAACTTCATAGGAAACAGTGAATGTCCTTCTTATTTTCTCTTTCAACTCAAAATATATAGTACAAATGCAATTTTGGTAGAATATATTTTCGTTTCATCTTTAGAAGAGATATACGTCAAATTGATAATTAAACGTTTCTTTACATAATACACTTTATATGACAAAAACTATTCTTATATAGCATGTTACAAAATCTCTACTATTCATCATCAATCATATTCTGTTATAACGTTTAAGATTCCTGCACTTCTATTTCAAGGTTACGTTTTCCCTTCAGCTTAAAATTGTAGGTATTTTGTGTTATTTTTAATGAAATCTATTCACAGAACGTGAACGTGATTTACTTGAAACTTTAAGTGGTTGTTCTTTTTTATTGCCAAATAATACAATGTTGATAAGCTATTTTGAAATAATAATTTCTCTAAAATTCATCTAAGAGTTCTGTTTTGAACAATTATTTTTACACATAATTTGTCTTATATTTTATCATCACTCAAATTCTAATAGTTTTGCTCCATAGTTACCGCTATTTGATTGAACTTCATTTCTTAACCTTTTTCTGTATAGTAATACATTTTATATGCTAAGATAATTATTCCTACAAAAATGATCTGCATCGTTACCCAAGTCACATGTGACAAGTTTTATTCTTCAAGCTCCTCTTAGTTTAACTATTTAAATTGTATCAAATATTTAACAAAAAACTTCTCATGGATGCGTTACATTAAATTAACATAAATATATTAAAAAAATCTGTTGAAATGGACTTTTATTTTTGTTATATCTTTTTTTAATTGCAATGCACTTTATGTAATAAGCTGTAAATAATAACGAAGTTAATCCATCCTATACTTGCAAATCAAGAGTGTGCATCAACCTGAGAAATTTGTTTTATTATCATTATTATTATGGTTGGGTTGAAAGTCGCACCAAAATAGTCATAAGAACAATTTTAGAACAAACAAAGCATAGCTAATGTTAGAAGAATTTATTACAATTTATTGAGAAACATTTCATATCTGTTGCAAAATGGAAAAAGTCTCTATTCAGACATTTGTTAGAAATTTTATAAAAAGGTGACCCATCTTTATCAGTCGACGTGCGTCATCTATTGTTCGAAAACAATTATTTCAATTTTAAAATAGCAAAAAATAGGATAGGAATTTTAATCCAATGTACACTGCCTTATATTTTGCTATTCATTTTAAATAAAACATATTAACTGTATCTAAATGCGTTACATTTTGTTTGACCCTGATCCTGGCCAAATGTTCCGTACTTCTATTATTCTTGCCTCATGTCACCCGTAAACTTGATATGTTCGGGTATGTTGTGTGATGCTCAATTGCACTTCACATCTGACCATTATATGCTATAGTTGTGTGATTATATATTTATATTGTTTATTATATTCTTTAATAAATATCTTAGATATTTCAGATTCATTGTTGTGTCTGAGTCAGTCTATTTTAAAAGTAATTTAAAGCCCATGCACTTATAAAAAATAAATGCCGACTGGGTTACGTCGACATAAACTTAACATAACAGGATAACTTTTGAAAGTTACTCAAATTGTTCCTGTGAGTTGCATATTTAGGTCACATGGAAGAAAAGGGAATTCAAAATACATATTTCAAAAGTCTTCTTTACTGAAAAGTACTTCTTCCCCAAACTTCATAACGTTAATGCAGTTTAAATAACCTATGTCATATTATGAAGCATTATTTTGTTTTCATAAACCTTTTTCCATTTACAATACGAGTTATTAGACCTTTAGTCTTGGACAGAATAAACAACAACACTGAAATAGGATGAAGGCCTTTGCATTGTTTCTTGAAATATCTTTTAAGATATTATATTTTTTATCAATACAAAATATAACACAATGCAACAACAATATGTCTTCGGAAGATAAACCTCTGAACTAGCTCACAGTCTGTTAATTTTTTGTAACTATAATTATTTCGATTATTAACATGTCGAAATCTACGGATAATGACAACTAAAAGCTTTACTGCCAGTAAAGTCCTGCACGAAGACCACATACAAAAATACACATACATCACTCATTATGACTGGCAAACAAATGGAATTTTCCAGCTCTTTTAAATGAATAGATGTATACAGTATTGAGTAATATGCTTTTTATATTATTGATGAAGTTATGATATCAATAAATATACTTTTACTAACCATTATGTCTTTGTAGAAGGAAACACCTGTATTTGATATTTTTGCAGCAATGACATTCAAGTTTAAGCTTTTAACGTGCTTATTCACTGACTACAGTTATATTCTAACATTTGGCTTATCTTGTAAGTAAATAAAATAATAACCATTTTTAAGTCAGAACAAATTATCTAGGACTGACAACGGTTAAAGGGATGGGTGGTGGGCAATACGGCCTGTACTGTGCAATGCGAAGTGCTCGAGTGGCGTATCTATCCGTCTGTCAATTACATATAAACTTCAAGTTCAGTGAGCACGAAATAATCGTCCTAAACTATGACGCAATTAATATAACCGTACATCTATAACTCTATAACAAAGAATGAGATATTGCCCAACTGCCACTCCCTTATAAGGAAATTCAAAGCTTGTCTTGTCAAGACCTAACCCCCATCACAGTTCATGTAAAAAACGTATCTTAAAATTAATAAGCCCTCGATCGGCTATACATCTTGACTCTTGGTCAAATATAATTCTGCATTAAATTCTAACAAATAACTCACAATTCCAAATACTAAGTTTGCGTCTGTCATAAAAACATATGTATATAACACCTTTAATAAGACCCCGGCTAAACATCTAGACCCTTGGTCAAAGATAATTCCGCATTAAATTCTAATCAAAACCTCACAATTTTCAATGCTAAACGAGCGTCTATTATATACCAAAAAATCTGAACATAAAACTTTTCAAAAAATATCACAGAAATAACAAATACTTGAATTTAAAAATGGTCTTTTATTCATTCATAAAGACAATTAAGACCTTACATGAAGAAAACTTATAAGAATCAAAATTAAGTTTTATACAGTGTAGTATTAAAAAACTCAAAGTTTGACTTTGCCCGTAAAAGTCTAGGACAGAAAAGGTTCTACTAAAAATCTCAATTCCATGAAATCTTGGGAGCCCTCGGTTTTACGTTTTGACCATCACTGTGGTTAATTATGCACAAAATAATTTAATCGAATCACACACATTTCACCAATGCTATATTTGACTTTCGGTTCTTTTCGACAATTATCCATAATCATCCTGGACTTAACATGGATTGAAGATATTTCAACTGCATTATTTAGATGTTAACAAAAACCGACTGTGTATCTCTTTAATAAATAGTACAGATAATATTCAACATCCAAAAAATTTAGTCTTTATCAGTAAAATTATGACTTTAAAATATGTCAGACGATCAGAATCAATTTAAAATTCCCACTGACTCAATAATAACTCCGTCCAAATTAAAGTCAAAATAAACATTAGTAATTTTGCTTCTTCAAATATATAGAATAAAGACTATATAAATAGTGTAATATTTCCTTTATCTATAAATTCACTTAATTTAGGTGTATATTTGCACGACATAGTGTTACAACTCACAGCATTTACTTACTATTTGTTAACATGTTTAACGGATTAATCAAGTGATTGTTATCATGTGTGCAAACATGTCTTTTTAAAAGAGCGAAAAAAGTGGGGGGGGGGGGGTCGAAACAACAAAACATTTTTAGAAACTTCAATCAGCCAACTTACTCAAGTAACACGAGTATGAATTATAATCACTGAAAAGCGAATTAATTGGCAAAATGTGAGTCGCATCATATTGTATGTAAGCTGCACATGCATTTGACTATCACCAAAATCCATAGGTATGAAGAATATGTGCGATTGTTTAACTTTTATTTCATAAGAATTAACTTCCATATCGGTCTACCAAAAAGCCAGGGATGATCATTAATAGTTGAACCTGTAATTAAATGGACATACAAATGTAAATTACATTCACCTTGGGCCATGCCCCTCTCATGCTTAACTGTTTTATAAAAAAAAACTTTTTACTATAAACACAAATCACATTTTCCATGCATTTCCACTAAATACCAAACAAACAAATCCATAACTCATTTGCATAATAGGATAAGATATTCCAACTCCCACAGAAAACCTTTTTCTGCCACCTAGAAATTGATTGTCAATACAAATATCTTAGCTTCCACATCTAACCTTCGATAGCAAAACCCCACCTTAATCCAAATGCACCAAATAAGTGGATCATATATCAAGTTTTTTTTCACAACATGAGAATCTGCTAAATAATTTCACCTTTGCACCTGGCCAAATTTTTAAATTAAATATACTCTAATATTGATGCGCAATGCATATTTTCCCGCCCAACTTTAATTTCATATCACTTCGACTCATAATTTTAAACCAGTGATATCTGTTAAGGTGACAACAGACACTTTCCGTGGTACTCACATAAATGTCATTTAAACCAACTTATTTTAGTAATAATTGTTATTTATTTAATCTTTGTGCATTAAATGTCGTTGATCATCATAAAAAAATAACATATTTGAAAATAATGCCTTTGTAAATGATTGAATTTTAATAAAAATCCTAAAATTTTAAATCGTCATATCAAAGTTATTTTTTATTTTTTTGTCATCAAACTTTTGGAAAATAAACATACTTATAATATCTGGGGAACCGTGTCTCAAATTTTTTCTATCTTTTCTCAAAAATATATTACGTAACGTCAAACACATTTTTAGCGACTTTTTTTCCACCATACATATTACGTAATTAGAGATAATTAAGTCGCTGATTTGAGCAACAAAAATCCTGACACGGTTCCCTCCGTAAATGAATTCCTTTCATGTGCTTAAACTGCATGTTAATGTGCTTGATTATTAAAAAAGTTATGCCGATTCAAAGCTAGTCCGACCCGAATCAAACGAAGTGTCATAAATTGGCTGTTCTCTCTCGGACCCCTACGTTTCACGCTAAATAATTGCATAATACACAAATATCGCACCAGAGAGGGTCACAAGTTGCGGTAACATACTCTAACAACATTTTATGACCCAGTGACATCTGACCAATTAAAAAGTTGCTGATTAATATCAATTTACAAGTAAAAATTTGCTGGGAAATGCAGCAATGTGATTGTCACGGCGAAAAAAAGAAAAAATACAAAAAAGCAGTTATAAGTATAATGTTAAGGTATCTCCAAATAGCACAGAGTTTAATTGACAGGTTAACTTGTTAAGAAGGTTTTTAAGTATTGTAATGTAACTTGTTACAAGAGCCATGCATATGTAGTAGAGCAGAATAATTTATCATTCTTGTGTACTGCAGACCTCTTGAGTGAGATCTATCCACAAATGAAGTTTTCATGTTGATATCTCAAAGGCTTTTGTAGTTATGCTCTGGACGAAATTAAGTATGAAAAGTAAACAAAGGGCAATACCTGAAAAAATAATGCACGGTAGGTGTGTGCCGCACTCCTCCTCAATGAGATTTATCCACCTATGAAGTTTCACGTTAATACCTCTAACACTGTTTGAGATTAAGCTCCGGACAAAAAGTTTGAAAAATAACAAAGGGCAATAACTCAAAAATTATAAAGGGTATCATTCTTTGCGCACAACATTCCTACTCAATAAGATCAATCCGCCAATGAAGTTTCATGTTGACATCTCAAAGACCTTTTGAGTTATGCTCCACTCAGGTGAAAAATTAAGTATGAAAAAGTACAAAGGGCAATTACTCAAAAACCTATGAAGGATAGAGTCATCACTCTTTTGCACTGCACACTTCCTGAGTGAGATCTATCTACCTATGAAGTTTAATGTTGATATTTCAATGGCTTTTGTAGTTATGAAAGTTGTAACCTCTAACAATTTTTGAAATAAGCTCCGGACAAAAAGTATGAAAAATAACAGAGGGCTATAACTCAAAAAATATAATGGGTAAAGTTATCATAACAGAGGGCTATAACTCAAAAATTATAATGGGTAAAGTTATCATTTTTGTGCACAACATTCCTCCTTAATAAGATTTATCCACCTATGAAGTTTCATGTTGACATTTCACAAGCTTTTTTAGAAATATGCTCCACTCAGGTGAAAAATTTAGTATGAAAAATAACAAAGGGCAATAACTCAAAAATATGAAGGGTAGAGTTATCACCCTTATGCACTGAACACCTCCTGAGTGAGATCTATCTATATATGAAGTTTCATGTTGATATCTCAAAGGCTTTTGTAGTTATACTCTGGACAAATATTTAGTATGAAAAATAACAAAGGGCAATAACTGAAAAATAATGCACGCTCGGTTATCACTCTTGTGTGCAGCACTCCTCCTCAATAAGGTCTATCCACCTATGAAGTTTCAAGGTGTTACCTCTAACACTTTTTGAGATATG